ATGAAAGCACAAGAATATGGATTGACCCAGCCATTTGCAGTAACAGACAGCCTATTTGTCAGTCTATTGAAGAGAGAATATGACAACTACTTGGGAAAAAGAAAAACCATTGCTGAAGCAGCATTGAACACTTCAATACTGAAACCAATAGTAGGGGCTGTGCCAGAATTGGGAGGACGCTGGGCAGAATGCGATTATGTTTACATGCCAATCAACACTGGAAACCATTGGATACTGGCTGTGCTTGACATATCAAAGAAATGCATCAGGCTGTATGATTCTAACAGCAAGGGGAAGACCAGTCGCCACACAAAACCATACCTTCCATGTCTACAGATATTACTGCCAAAGGTGATGGACAAACTGGAAGTGTACAAGGAGCGGAAAATGCCTGAGATGGGAGATGATGTGCTAGGCATTGTCAACGTAAATGATTGCCCACAACAACAGGACGCGTAAGTTCGTAGATGTTATAAATGTACCTAATAACATGTAATATACTTAAAGCACCATAATGTCCAATGTACATAATAATATGCAGGGTGAGCTGTGGCATATTCGTTGTAAAGATGGTTGAGCATCTAATCATGGGGATGGAAGTGGATGAAGTGGATGTTGCAGGCATTGGGAGTTTCAGGAAAAAATTTGCAACAGAAATGCTGTTATATGCAAACAAGAGGGCTGACCGGGCTGACCAGGAGGGCTGAGCATTGGCATGGGATATGTAACCAAGTTTAAAAAACTTTTATGTTTAAGTATGCTGTTGTAGTAGTTGCACTATGGGTTTTAAGTGCAGTAATAGTACTTTTCCTATTATTAATAATATGGGTTGTAAGTGCACTATCAATGCTTTTTAGACAGAATCTTGTAATATGGTTGGTGATTGAAGTAATCACATTACTTTTTTGGATAAAATTGGGGCACAGTATTTGATGAAACTTTTTTTTAAAAGGGGAGTAAACAAGTAACCTTTAAACACGTGAGTAAACTTTTATCAATGACAGAATCACTTCTTCCAACAAATAACTTTTATCAATGACACACCCAAACCATTCAATGTCAAGAGAATCTAGCGTTGTAATGCTGGCACGAGCAAACAAAATCTTTTAAACACATGGAATCTCTTTAAATCTCTCTTTGGCTGATACTAATGAAATACTTTTATCAAAGAATGGCAATCCCTACAGCGTCATGTTCTTGAGGACAGCACTCAAACCCGGGCTAGAAAGCAAAGGCAGGAGAAGGAGGGGGAGGGGGGTATCATTGAAAATACTTTAGGACTTTGGTTATATTTTTATATTTGCTATTATCTAACAGAATTTATAGGAAAACAGAATGACCCATTCTACAAACACATGAATATCATGGCATTCAACACAAATGAAAAGTAAAAACAACCGAGCTAAAGAAAAGAGTGAAATGACATGATATTAGAATCAATTTCAAAAAGACAATACAAAAGGACTTGAAATGTTCATGAATTAGAAAGAAACATAAGCTCCATTCCAAAAAAAGGTACTCTTGCATAAAGACTTATGTGCGACGGATAGAAAGGGGGTTGGTGCAGGTTTTTTTTATTATGTCCAGGCATTGTACACCGGGAGCAACATTGCCTGCTCGTAGTCTCACCCCTGGATGGAATTCGCCGCTTCTTGGGTCTTCCAGGTGGGCGTTTAGAACATGAGGGAGGTCTACACAAAATACCCGACACAACCTTTGGAACAACCCAACTGTCTCTACTAGCCAATGGGTGTATAATGCCTTCATATGCTGCAATCCACTCAGAAGTAGTGTAGTATTTTGATATAAACTCATAGCATGAAACACTTGGGCGTGTACGAATAGCTGCAACAGCATGAACACATACGAAGTGATCGATCTGGAACTCACAACAAGTACAAGTCCTGGACCGAAGATTAACTACAAAAGCCCTTCCATTGGTGTCCAAAACCTGGAACTCATACTCACACGATGGGCGAACCTGAAAAAAATATTCTTGATAGTCAAAGTATGAAAAACATATAGTCATAAGAAAATGCATTGTGGCAGTAGAATATAATGCCTTGTGAGACGTACACTCATGACTGCAGACGAAGCATGTAGCTCATTCAACTTTGCTTCATAATGCCTTGTCAGAATAGATGACGTAGAATTAGCCAAGGTTCTCCGTTCATGGAACCATTTTTGCATCCTCACAATTATGAAATCAATAAGTTGTGCAATGGGATACTCGCGGGCTGAAGCATCAACACTGTTCATTGACTCAGCGTTGTTTGATGTCATGATTGAGTATCGATTGTTTGCTGATTCTGCCCGAGACCACTTCGAAAATCCAATGCGTGCTAGATATGGCTGAATGGCTGGATCCTCCTAATCTAACAATTTCATATACCAATTCCGTTCACGAACAGTTGCAGCCTTTGCAGCACGAATAAACTTCCATGTAACAGCTTTTGCAGAGCCACGGAATGACGTCTTAATGTTACCAAGAATGTGATATATACAATGTCCATGCATAACGTTTGGGAAAACAGATTGCACAGCACTTATAATGCCATCATGGCGGTCAGACACAATATACTTCACTTCTTGAGCTACAAGGANCAGATTGAGCATGTGAAATCAAAGGCAAAACAGGATTTGATGTTGCGTTGAGCAAATTGGGGAAGAATTGAACACATAATGGCAACATCACAGCATCTCTGTAAAAGGATTTCAGTTGCAAGTAAAATCGAAAACTGGAATCATCATCAATAACAACAGGAGGAGGGCAAACTGGCAACAAATACGAAAATCGAAAATCATATTGCGCACAATCGTCACCAATCGCTACACGAACAGCGTGAATTAGGTCTGCGAAAGAGTTTTCAGAATTGATTTCCAACTCACAGTTACGTTTAGAATGAAAGGAGGAATCATCACTCCATTCGCCATCAACATTCAGCAAAATATGATATGAAGGAGGTTGAGTAGACATTGATTTGAGAGAGAAGAGTATGATCGATTTGCAGAAAGACGGAGAAGACAGCGCGCGGCGGAAAATTGAATCGGAGAAGAAGGTGAAATTTAGACGTAAATAAGAGAGGGTAAAATAGGGAGATCAGGTGCAAATTAGTTCTATTTTTGGAAAAAAAACAAGTGGTACTAAAAGGGGAAAGGCACCAAGTTTTGGTACCATGCGGGGCAAATTTATCCTTATGTGTATGTAAATATACCATTCAAAATTGTTTGTCACTAAAGTAGATTTTTTTTTGAGAGTGCTAATATACACATAAAAAAATTGTAAATATGATTTTTTTTAAAACATAAGCAGGGGAGGGGTATAGAGAGAGAAGAAAGATGGAGGGGTATATGGTGTATGAATTGGGATGCACCATTGGTGTACCCCTAACGCGACCGAATACTAAAATATAGGAAGTACTCCGTAGGAGCAATGCTAGGGGTACACCTTTGGTGTATCTCATTTGTCCCCCACCCCCTTCTCCACCACTAATTTTTATCATCTTTTTATTTATTTAACTAGTATTTTAACCCGTGCAACGCACGGGTGGAACAAAAGTTTTTGTTGATTCTAAACTTTTGTATAAAATATTTTTAGGAATAATATTTTAAACATGATTTTTTAATAATATAGAGATTTAAATATGTTAACAATAAAGTTTTTTTAATTTCAATTTTTTTCAAAAACTTCAGAGTACACAAACATTTTTGTATAGTTGCACGAGTTTCCATTGTCATCTAGAACTAATATTTTTAATTATCCATTTTTCTTCATTAATGAAATAACAATATTAAATTAATCATGAGTGAATACTGACTTGAATAAAGATAATCCAACAAAGGATAATTTTGTTCTTGACTTTTGTTAATAATTATAACGAAATATAAGACTTTTTGAATTTTTTTCTCTAGAATTTCAGGGGTAGTCCGGAGTCAAACCATACCAAGTTCATTCAGGATCTCCAACTCAATTTCTTGAAATAAAAATTGCCACTGATAACGTTGTTTCACAATACTTTAATGATTAATCTCATATAATTACAAAATTTAGATGTTTGATTAATATTCCTCAACAACATAATCGATTCTCCCTTTTCAAAATTATTTTGTGGTTTAGGATCTTCAAACATTTGATTTCATTCAAAAATCAAGTGTTATCGAGTATCACCAACACCTATATTTGCATATCTTTGGCATAAAAAATCATAAGTACTTTTCATCACCGAGAATGAGAGATAAAAAAAATTATTTAACATTTTAACAACTTTGAGAGTGGGTGCCAATAGTGCCATGTCCTAAAAAATGAAGTATTTTTCATATTCTTCAATATGTTTGGATAAGTGAAATTCATTATACTCGTGTGGGAATAACTTGGGTCGAGAGTCAAGAATTTGTGATTTTTAACATCACCAATTATATCAATATCCTTTTCGAGCTTTGAATCTCTGACTTTGAGTATCGAATCAGGAAAAAACTTGTGTATTCCATCGAACATTTTTTTATTCTTATTTTTCTCAATGCAATATTTTTTCGAATTCAAGTAAATATATTTCTCACACAATCTTTATTACTATAGACAACCCAAAGTAGAATAAATAATTTTTGAAGAACTAAAAGTCTACTCGACAAAGTATTTTTAATACAATAAACAACTGAAAGGATCTTTAAAAATTTATCGTTGTCATTTGGGTGAAATTTTGTATACATTAATGGAAATCCATATAAGAAGAAAGATATAAGTTTCTTATTTTAAAAAATTATGTACATCATTAGTTATTATTTGCACAAAAATTTGAAATTATTTTTCACAAAGAAAACAAATTCCTTTATGAATGATGCAAATCTTTATAAAGCAATCACCGTAAATAAGAGTAAGTAAAATTTGCACTAAATAGGATTAAAACATAATAACTTTCCTAATGTAGGACTTAAACTTTTTTATTCCCTAAATATGACTTAATAATGACCTAGTGGAAGGAATAATGTCTAGTAATGATGGACATTTAGTTGAATAATGACTACTTGATAATGAGCAAAAGTCCTACATTGGGAAATAAAAACATATGGTCCTATATTGGGAAAGTCATTATGTTTTAGTCCTATTTAGGTAAATTTCTCTAAGAGTAAATCATAAAGAAAGTGCCAAATCTTTACTTTTGCTCGAATAGACTCCATGTATTTTTTTATGGAGGTATCATCGTGACAGATTTTGGACACTCAAAGTTAATTCATGGTGATTTCAAAACACCATCCTCACCTCAATCCTAAAAAGATAGGTCTTCCCAAGGTCATCAAACTCCTTTGGTCTCTCAAAACTTCCACCTGAGAAATTTTATGTATACATTAGTATAATAAGACAGATGTTGTGTTAAAAAGCAAAGCTGAAATTCATTAGGAAGTTTTATTTCCCTCGATTCAAGTTGGGAGTAAAGTGAAGCTAAGATGATAAAATTAATTGTCAATTGTTTACCTGGTGTTTAAAATGAACTCATAATAAATTAACTTTTCAATGACACATGCCAAATCTCTGTTTCCATGTAATTCGAAAATACTTATCTTTGTCAAATTAAAAATGCAAAAAAAAGTCAAAAATTAAAAATGCAATTTTTTTAATCAAGAGATGGGTGTATTGTTTAAAAGTGAATATTATTCTGTGAAAGCCTGAAAGGTCATATAGTGGTGAAGGTATGTTCTTATGGATAAAAAAGAGAAGGAAATGAAGATAATTGCATAAACATATCGTCCACTTATTGTATCCTCATATAATTAAACAGGTAACAGAGAGGCATAAATAAATATGCACTGGGGTAAAGCATTATTTGATGAATGTGATGATAG